TTCTTCAGCTCAAGGCTAGTGCTCTACCACTTGAGCCACAGTGCCACTTCTGGCTTTTTTCCTTTTTGCTTATGTGGTGCTGAGGAATCGAACCCAGGACCTTGAGCATGCAAGGCAAGCGCTCTACCACTGAGCCACCTTCCCAGCCCTAAAACATTTTTTTTGTGTGTGTATTTTCTTTGTACTTTCTTCTCTTCTTCACTTGTATCTCAGACATTAAGTAATAGGAAAAACTAAAATACAAGAGGGTAAGATTATTCCTACAAAAAAACAAAAGGATAGGACACAGAGGGAAGGAAATGAGGCGAGGGATGAGAGGAGATGGGGTGGTAGGAAGAAAAATAGAGGTTTACTGGTTTTTACTGAGGAAAACAAAAATAAGGGATAAAGTGAGCCCTGGTGGACAGTCACAAGAAGAAAATATTTAAACATTATTGAATTTGTGTTGTGTATTGTAAGTCCTTCTTTAGTAAGTTTCTACATTTCCTTTCATGGAAAAAGATAGTAAAAAGGAAAAGCATTATTTTTGCCATTTTTAGAAAGTAGGAAATTATAGAGAATGTAAAGAAGAAAATAAACCACTCATTCCTTCATGGTTATATTTTGGGTATTTCAGTTTTTTTCCTATGATTATAGTTTTGCATATTTATGATCATATTATATACATTCTTTGGAGATAGGATCTGCTCAGGTTTGCCTTAAATTCCTTGCAAGTAGCTCAGTCTTTTGAGTAGCTGGGACTACAGGTTAGTGTACACAAATTTATAGTTTGGAAATGTTGAAAGTATAGTTAGAAAAGTCAGAAGAGTTGACATTTCAACTAGGTATTATGTTGCCATTATTATTATTGTTACTATCATTTTTTTGTCAGTGGAGGGGCTCCAACTCTGGGCCTGGATGCTTTCCCTCAGTTCTTCAGCTCAAGGCAAGCGCTCTTGAGACCACTTGAGCCACAGTGCCACTTTGGTTTTCTGGTGGTTAGTTGGAGATAAGACTCTCATGGATTTTCCTGTCTGAGCTGGCTTTTCACTGTGATCCTCAGGTCTCAGCCTCTAAGTAGCTAGGATTATAGGCATGAATCATCAGTGCCTGGCTTTTATTATTTTGTGTTTTTAGTCAGTTGTGGGGCTTGAACTCAGGGCCTGAGCACTGTCCTTGAGCTAATTTACTCAAGGCTAGGGTTCTACCATGTTGAGCCATAGCCCCACTTCTGGTTTTCTGGTGGTTAACTGGAGATAAGAGTCTCACGTACTTTCCTGCCTGGCTGGCTTTGAACCATAATTCTCAGATCTCAGCCTCTTGAGTAGCTAGGATTATTGGCATGAGCCACCAGTGCCAGCTTGTATTATTATTATTATTTAAGTGGGAAAATGAATAGCTAATCAAAGCATTGACTAAGACTATGCAGTATCTTTTGTCTCTCCTTTTCTATCTTGGATATCTCCACACAAAGAGCTGATGATGAAGACATTGAAAGTCTGCATTCTGATCTATTTCCTTTAGTGATATTGCTAGCAGGCAATTGTGAGCACTATTTAAAGAGCTTTAATAAAAAAATTCTGGTATAAAATTTATGTTAAATTAGGACTGTATAAGTTGTATCAGTAAGTAATTCTAATATCCAAGATACTTTATGCAAAAGAAAAGTCAAAATTTAATAGCAGATCGTGGGCAAACTCCTAAGCTTACTGAGTCTCAGTTTCCTTTTCTATGAGATAGGGATGGATAATTTCATATTCAAGGAATATGAGTTGCAGGACCTTTCAGAGTAATTTGATATGTTTGACTTCTTTCTGGAAGCATCTTTTCTTCCTTTATGATTTGCTTATCAATCTACTCCTGTATATATGTGCAGATTCACTTATTTCTTGACTTTTCTGGCATCACTTGATGGGAGAATATTAATAAGATGTCCTCTGTGTTTTCTTTTAGTTTCATAAACAGTCTTTGACCCAAACACCAGGCAGAGAACCGTCTACTCCCCGTGTCCAGAAGAGGGCCCGTTCGCGCTCCTTTAGTGGGCTAATTAAGGTAAGCTGTTATTGATCCTGAGGAAACTTAACTCTGAGTTATGAAGTTAATTCTATGCTCTGTATTAAGTTAATTTGTTAGGAGATAAAGGGAGAATTTTAAAAAGCTTTTATTTTGTAGTTTTACTGTGTTTCAAATGGAGGAGGATCTCTATGAAGTAAAAGAAATGAAAGCCATGGGGCTGGGAAGGTGGCTCAGTGGTAGTGCGTTTGCCTTGCATGCATGAGGCCCTGGGTTCAATTCCTCAGCACCACATAAGCAAAAAGAAGAAAGCCGGAAATGGTGCTGTGGCTCAAGTGGTAGAGCGCTAGCTTTGAGCTGAAATGCTGAGGGACAGAGCCCAGGCCCAGAGTTCAGGCCCCCCGACGGTACCCAAAAAAAAAAAAAAAAAAAAGAAATGAAAGCCTTTCTGGGTATAAAGAGAGATTTAATTTCTGTATAGAGTCCATTTTATTTCCTGACGTGCTTCACAAGAGTAAACCTACTTTTTTCTTTTTCCCCTCCCTCCTTCCCTCAATCCCTCCCTCCCTCCCTTCCTTGTATTATTCCTTCCTTCCTTCCTTTCTTCCTTCCTTTCTTCCTTCCCTCCCTCCTTCCCTCCTTCCCTCCCTCCTTCCCTCCTTCCCTCCTTCTTTCCCTCCTTCCCTCCTTCCTTCCCTCCGTCTTCTTTCGCTGGCACTGGGGCTTGAGAGAGCCTGGGTGTCGTCTCTGAGCTTCTTTTGCTAAAGGCTAGTGTTCTACAACTTGGGTCACAGCACCACTACTGGCTTTCTTTTTTTTTTTTTTGGTAATTTATTGGAAATAAGAGTCTCGTAGACTTTCCTGCCTGGGCTGGCTTCAAGCCATCATTCCAAGATCTCAGCCTCCTGAGTAGCTACGATTTTAGGTGTGAGCCACTGGCTCCTGGCTAAGCCTACTGTTTTGTTTATGTAGGTTTATTACATGTAGGTTTTTTTTTTTTGTTGGTCATGGGGCTTGAACTCTGGGCCTGGGCACTGTCCCTCAGCTCTTCAGCTCAAGACTAGCGCTCTACCACTTGAGTCACTGTGACACTTCCGGTTTTCTGGTGGTTTATTGAAGAGTCTCATGGCCTTTCCTGCCCAGGCTGGTTTTAACTCCGAACCTCAGAACTCAGCCTCCTATGTAGCTAGGATTACAGGTGTGAGCCACTGGCACCCTGCTTACTTGTAGCTTTTGATCAATTGTCATAAAGTAAATCAATGAATAAGTAAATACATATTAAAAAACTTAAAAATTTAAAATTCCCATACATAAATAACACATCTTATTTGATGTGGAAGAGCTCTCAGCCAATCCCACATTGTCGGTTGTGTTTAAATCAAATGTGATCTGCTGAGTGTTTTGTTGTTTATAGTTTGGTAAAAATATGTCCCAAAACAAGGGAAGAGTTAGTGTTCTTACTTTAAGAGTAAAGTGAACATTTGAGATTTGCGGAAAGCCAACATGTCTGTGGTTGGGTGGTATTATGGGAAAGACGGATCAGCCATCTGTAATATAGTATTGAACTCCATGTATCTTGAGCATTTCTGTTTTTTTCTCAGCAGTGGTCTCCTTGGGACCATGTATTATAGTTATCAAGGGTCTACTGTACTTCTTTTTTTTTTTATTGGGTCTGGTTGTGGGGCTTGAACTCTGGGCCTGGGCGCTGTCCCTCAGCTCTTCAGCTCAAGGCTAGTACTCTACCACTTGAGCCACAGCGCTACTTCCGGCTTTTTTCTTTTTGCTTATGTGGTGCTGAGGAATCGAACCCAGGGCCTCTGGTATGCAAAGCAAATGCTGTACCACTGAGCCACCTTCCCTGCCCCTACTGTACTTCTTTATGCAATTTACTATATCTGTGGAGTAGTGAGGAAATAGAGATGATTAGGGGAATTAGAAAAATGGGTTTTCTGGTTGGTCAAAGTATGAACCAATTAAACAGTGATACTCACTAAACCCTATATTGGAAATAAACTTTACAACTTGTAAAGGAAAGGGGGTCGGGGTGAAGGAGGGGAAGTGGGAGAAAATGAGGGAGAGGGTAACACTGTTCAGAAAGAAATGTACTCATTACTGTACTTACTTATGTAATTATAACCCTTTGCAATAAATTACATCACCTTTACAATAAATTTTAAATTAAAAAAATTAAAGAAGAAAAATGGATTTTCTAATAGGCTGGTGTACTTTGACACCTCACATTTTTAATTATTTTTTTCTCTTAAATTCATTGTTAGATCAAATATATTGTGATTCTGTGATGTTACTACCATTTTTATGTTTGCAGATTGAGTTTACAAATCTCCAGATTTTAATTTGTAGTTAAGGAATATTGCCATCAGGTGGCAGTAGATATCTTGGTTATGGGGCTCAGATTTTCATGTATAAATGAAGGCAAGGTTAATTTGGAGAGAAACTAGTGCTATTTTTGTGTTCTTCTGTTTTTTTTAAATTGTATTACCATTATTAAGACATAAATTTATCAACATTAAGGAGTCCTTTGAGTACTTTGCAAGTTTTTCCCCTTTATGCTGAAGTTAACAGTTGCAGATTCATTTAGCCCTAGTTTTTGTCATTATAATTTGTAGAAGTCTAGAATTTACTTTCAATACTAATCTCCTGAGTCTAGTAGCTTCTTGGACATTAGACTGGGTTGCCATCAGAATTTCCATTCCTTTCAACAGAGTGAAAGGCAACCTATAGAATGGGAGAGAATATTTGCATGTTGTGTATCTTGTTAGGAACTACTATCTAACATATATAAAGAACATTTATAACTCAACATCAAAAAACAACTTCAGCCGGGCGCTGGTGGCTCATGCCTCTACTCAGGAGGCTGAGATCTAAGGGTTGTGATTCAAAGCCAGCTTGGGCAGCAAAGTCCGAGACTCTTATCTCCAGTTAACCCAGAGAATTGGAAGTGGAGCTGTGGCTCAAAGTGGTAGAGTGCTTGCCTTGAGCTGAAGAGTTCAGGGACAGCACCTAGGCCCAGAGTTCAAGACCCAGGACTGATCAAAAACCTCCACAAAAACAAAAAAAACCACAAAAACAACTTCACTTCCAGGTGCTGATATCTCATGCCTGTAATCCTAGCTACTCATGAGGCTGAGATCTGAGGCATGTGATTTGAAGCCAGCCTAGGTAGAAAAGTCTGTGAGGCTCTACTTCCAATTAACCAGGAAAAAAATAAAAGAGAAAGAAATGGAGCCTGTGGATCGAGTTGGTAGAGTGGAAGCTTGGAGTGAAAAAGCTAAGGGAGCACGTGAGGCCCTAGGTTCAAGCCCTACTAACCAGCACAAAAAGTAAAAACAACAAGAAAATAACCTCCTCCAAACTCCCCAAAACTACAACAAACAAACAACAACCACAACAAGTAAAGAAAAATGAAAGAATAGCAATGATTTTAGGTATTTGGTACATGCTGTGGCCTCTTTTGTATGATATGGCTGGGAGGGCTTGTTCCAAGTTTTTAGATAGCTGAGTTTATTTTTTATTTTTGTGCTTCTGGGATTTGACTTGCTAGGCAAGCATTCTATCATGTGAGCCACACTTCCAGTCCTATAAGGATTTTTAATTTTTTTTTTAATTTTTTTTTTGTCGGTCGTGGGGCTTGAACTCTGGGCCTGGGCATTGTCCCTCAGTTCTTCAGCTCAAGGATAGTGTTCTACCACTTGAGCTACCACGCCACTTCCAGTTTTCTGAGTAGTTTATTGGAAATAAGAGTCTCACAGACTTTGCTGTCCAGGCTGGCTTTGTACTGCGATCCTCAGATCTTAGCCTCTTAAGTAGCTAGTATTACAGGTGTGAGCCACCAGCACACAGCTAAGTATTTTTTAACATAAGAAAATTGTAGTCTTTGCCAGGTGCTGATGGCCCATGCCTGTAATCCTAACTACTCAGGAGGCTAAAATCTGAAGATCACAGTTCAAAGCCATCTCGGACAGGAAAAAAAAATCTGTGAGGCTCTTTTCTCTCTTTCTTTCTCTCTCTCTTTCTCTCTTTCTTGTCAGTCATGGGGCCTGAACTCTGCCCTGAGCACTGTCCCTCAGCTCTTCAGCTCAAGGCTAGTGCCCTACCACTCAGTACCACTTCTGGCTTTTTCTGCTTATGTGGTGCTGAGGAATCGAACCCAGGGCCTCATGCATGCAAGGCAAGCACCTTACCACTGAGCCACCTTCCCAGCCCCTCTGTGAGACTCTTATGTCTAATTAACCATCAGAAAACTGGAAGTGGAGCTATGGTTTAAAATGACAGAGTATTAGGCTTGAGCAAAAGAACTCAGGGACAACTCCCAGGCCCTGAGTTCAAGCTCCATGACTGACAAGAAAAAAAAAAAAGAAAAGAAAATTGTAGTTTTGTAAGTCAATATAGCTATGTAGTGATGCAGTAAATGTTTGTAAATCAAATATATTCTGTTTGTAAATCAGCGCAAAGTCCTGGGAAGTCAGATCATGACAGAAAAGAGAAACAAGTCCCCTACTCGAGAGTCTATGGCCATGAGTGAATTGAAGAGCACCAGCAAAGAAAATATGAACTTAGTAAGATAATATTCTTTGGACTCTTTCTCTCTGTGTGTGTGTGTACATTTGTAAAAGAAGGAAGTTTGTATATTGTCATTTATTTTTACAGTTTTTCTGCATCATGTTGAATGTTTATTTATACTTACTATCTTTCTGTAGATTTTTTTTTTTTTTGGTGCCAGTCTTGGGGCTTGAACTCAGGGCCTGGCTGCTATCACTTGAGCCACAACCCCACTTCTGGCTTTTTTTGTGGTTAATTTCAGATACGAGTCTCACAGACTTTCCTGCCCAGGTGTTCTATGAACTACAGTCCTCAGATCTCAGCCTCCTACGTAGCTAGAATTACAGGCATGAGCCACTGGCGCCTGGATTTTCTGTAGATTTTTATTAACTCATTCACTAAACAAGAAGAATATAGCTAGTTATATAATGATGACCAATACAGTGTAGTAGCTATATAAACAAGTATTGCAGGGTGCAGTTGATTCTTACTGGGAGGTAGGTAGCATTTTATCTGGGTCTCCTTGGCTCTGTATTGACTGGATGGTAGTTGTCCAAGGTATCCTAGGTTTAGTTACTTCATTAAATCAACAGTAAATCAGTTAAGGTAAGTAAGGTGTAACTATTCCAGGCTTGGTCAAACTCCTCCCATTGAAATTGGATGAGTATTTCCTCTGTTGGTAAAGTCTGTAACACTGACATTAGATCATGTAAGCCACTGTAAAATTTTCTTGTTACAGTCATATTCTGGTTCTCCTGCTGTCATGACGCCAACAAGATTGAAATGGTCTGAGGGGAAGAAGGAGAGGAGAAAAGGTACTCATTTTACTTTGTCTTCTTTGTTCCTGAATGTAGTTCCTTTCTGCATCTATTCAGTGAGTAGCATTTTTTTCTTTTACTTCCCAGTGTATACAGTTGTAGTCAGAAGGGATGTAGGTTGATGTGCTATACTGTGCAGTGCCCTTCGGTTGCTCCAGACACTGACCCTACAAACACTGATCTCGACCTTCTTAGACAGGACTTGTATTTCAGTTACCTTAATTATACTTCATAAATAAGTTCAAAACAAATATAAGCTTTTTTTTTATCTTGACAACTCTACGGTGGAAAGAAAGAAATGAATTTCTTCAGAAAAATAGGGGTCCATGATAACATAAGACTTTGAGTAGGTTAGACAATGGCATTTTTACTTTCCCCCAGTTACTTCCTGTATCCTGAGATGCTGCACTATTCTTTTTTTTTTTTTTTTGTCGATTGTGGGGCCTGAACTCTGAGCCTGGGCGCTGTCTCTAAGCTCTTCAGCTGTAGACTAGTGCTTTACCTCTTGAGCCTCAGCCCCACTTCCAGCTTTTTCTGCTTATGTGGTGTTGAGGAGTTGAACCGAGGGCCTCATGCATGCAAGGCAAGCACTATACCACTGAGCCACCTTCCCAGCCCCACTATACTATTCTTATTTTCTTCCTTCCTCTGATTCTCTTTCTTTTTCTCTTCCTCCCTCCTTTCATTCTCCTTCCTTCTTTCCTTCCTTTTCCTTCCTTCTTTCTCCTCCCATCCCTCCCTCCCTCTCCCTGTTTTTAGCTTTTTTAATTTTAAAAAAAATTGCCCAGACTGGCCTCAAATTGGGATCTTCCTACTTCTATCTCATGAGTAGCTAGGATTATAGGCAAGCGCCACCACATCTAGCTACCTGTTGTGTTTTTACATTTTTTTTCTTTAGTTCTCTGCTTTTCTCTGCTCTTATATTTTTCTGCTCTTAGCAGCTTGGTCTGCTTCCATAGCTCAGTTCTGTTTTCTGTGTGACAACAGTTTCCAAACTGGCCTCTCCAGGTCTGAACTCTTCTAGACTCCAAGCCTGCAGTTTAGGTGGGTACCATACAGTTTTTTATTCAACAATGAATTGAATCCTAGATATTTTGGGCACTGATGTTAGTAAAATAACACACACTCCTTGAAGAAGATGATATTATCACCATTAACAGTATAATTGAAAAGGATTTGTATTTAGCATAGATTTCTTAGCTTTAGCAATATTGACCTTTTGCTTTAATTTCTTTGTTGTGTATGCTGTTTAACAGCTTCTACCCAGTTCATGCCTCTGGAACCCTTCCCTCAGTGTGACAACCAAACTGTCCCTAGACAATGCCATATGTGTCCTGAGGGGGAGAAGGAAAAATCACCCCCAGATGAAAACAACTACTTATTACTGGGCATTCTTTTCAGCAGTCACACTCTTTCTCATTCTTCAGAGCCCCGCCTAAACTGCCTCTCTTCTCTGGAACCTTTTCTGGCTAACCCAGCCAGATAGAGTTACTTTTTTTTCCTTTGAACTCTTACTGAAACTATTAAGGTATGACATCTAGTATGATTTACTTTAGTAGTATTTTCTTTTCTCGGTATCTAATTTCTTTTCCAGAAGACAGGAGTCAGATTTCAGAATATATTCTTAGGGGTTGGGACAGATGGAGCAGAGGAATAAAAGGAGTGACATTGCTTAAGATGCATTGATTAAAACTGCCATGTTGAATTTAAATCCCTTTGTAGAACTTGGATATAGCTCAGTAGAGCATTTGCCTACCACGTGCAAGGCCCTGGGTTTAATCCTACCGCCACAATAAAGAAAAAGTAAATAGAATGTACTGTGGCCTTCTGTCTTCTGTTCTTGTATGACAGTGCTGCAGTCAGTATGGAGTAAGCATTTGCCAGTGGAAGGTAATGCTGGTAAGAGCATGAACTCTTTCTTTACTTAGACTTGGGCCCACTTCCCTGTTTTGCTGCTTAGTAGCTTTATCTGGGGCTGTAGTTTCTCTGTCTGTAACATGGCAGGAATAGTGCCTCATGTGCAGGTGGTTATGAGGAAGAAGGAGATGTTGTGCATAATTAACAAGAGGAACACCCATATAAAAGGTACACCTACTTGATGGCAGGTGTTATTGCCATCAATACATTTAATGAACTGGGATTAGATTGAACAGACTCGATAGAGTCTCTACTTGGTAAAGAGTGAAATTCTTAAATATTTTGATCAATCTGAAATAGATATTAAATATAGATTCTATAGCTTTTAGGTAAAATGCTTGCAAAAAATATTTATAAATGTATCTAATGTTCTTGTTTCTCCTTCAACCTAGGATTCCTCTGAAGGATTTAGACCTCTCCTGTCATCCACCAGAATTTTCTCCTTAGTGGACCAGGTGTTATTTCTGCTCACTGCGAAGTTGGGACTTGCAGTTTGCTTGCTGCATTTTTGATTTGTGAAAGAATGCCAGTTTATGCCATACGTGACTGAATAACCTCTAACCTACTCACTGGCTATCAGTTATAAGCTGTGCCTTCTGAGAGAGTGCTGTGCTCTCTCTCTCTTAAGTATTATAAGGGAAAACCACTAACCAGAGAACAACCAACTTACGTTGTATAGTAAATCAGCAGTACCCGCTGGGCTCCAGTGTTCATTCAGTATGCTTTGTTAGGCCAGGTTTGTTTTTTGAACTGTTTTGTGCCCAACTGTCAGTGATTATTTTTTCAGAAGTACTGTTGATTTTAGTGGATTAGTAATTTTAACTGATATTTTGGGCTTTTCTCTGTTTTAATAAGGTTGAGGAGTAACTGGTTGTTATTTGTCACTTTTTTGTTTTAAAAGCCATTTCTTTTTGGATTGGTAATCCAAATGGACTCTTAAACTGGATACTCTTAAACCCCTTTTCTTCTTAAACTTGGGGAAGCTCTTGCTCTTATGAGGCTATATTCCTTAGTATCTTTTTGTGTTGAGAGAATTTATGGCTTTCTAGAAATTCTTTATTAGTTCTTGTGTCTGCAATTATAGGGGAGTTGACTTATTGTATTGAAAAAAGGAGAATATTGTATTTTATTGAATTTTTGCTTTTCCCTCTCTCCTTCCTCTTTCTCCCTCCTCCATCTCTCACTGTCTTCTTTCCTCAGTTATGTGAAAGTAGTTGTGTGGTCGCTGAGCTTATTTCCTTCACTCAGTATTCTCTAACCATATGAAATACTTGTCTGCTAAGAAAGGAAAAGTTACTGACTGCTTCACAGAAATCTTTGTCTGTGGCAGGAAGCTCTGGAGTGTGCCTGGAGGAACTGGCTGGCTTATATTCCTTTGGATGGGATTCTGTTGCACTTTTCCAGGCATCAGGTGCAACTAGAGCATCTCCTGAGAGCAAGGTGGGGTCACGAGAAAGGCATGAGTAGCAATGTCTGGAGTCTGATCGGATTTGGAGGAGAGCATTCTCACTGGGAAGCAGTTGGAGCTTCTCAGTGCTCAGGAGTGGTTCCTGCCACAGATAGTAATTGGAGCTGGAGCTGGAGCACTTGGCGATTGGATTGGACATGTTCATCTGTATTTATGGTGAAGAAAGAAAAGACATGGCTTTGATCTGGTATGAAATTATATTCACGGTGCAGAGAGCAGCACGTGGCAGATGAAGATGTTGAAGTGTGTGCCTGGCTGTTAAGCTGCATAACTGTTTCTGCCTTGTGTGTAAAAGCTGAGTCAGGCCACTGTGGGGAGGCAGGTATCCAACAAAATACGGTTTGCTGATCTAATTTTAGGCAGTTGGAAATCTTCACTATCCTAAAACAATGACTCCAGTGCAGCAGGGTTTGATTTTGTTTCTGGCCATCAGCCCTCTCTCCTGCTGGACTTTTTTTTTTTTTTTGTTAAGAAAAAAAAATAATTCTGTACCAGGTAACAATGAGTTTAAACAGAAATCCCTTTTGGTGTCAATACATCAAAATAGTATTCTTCCTCAACTCTTCCAAAGTAGTGTGTTTCCTTCCTTTATTCCTTAAGTGTGTTCTATCTCGGAGTGGCACAGTGGTCTGTTGAGCATGGACTGTCTTCAGGTTGAGAGAGCATGGCAGTGACTTGATACCCCCTTGTCATCTAGTTGGTTTTGTGTTTGAGAGAGTTAAGAGACAAAGGAGATGCTGTTTGGAAGAATGGAATCAGCAGCCGTAGGTAGTGTTCTGCGGTGAGGGTGCAGGTGAGATGCCTTTAGATAGCTGGACCCCTTGGGCAGTTCACATGTGTATTTGGGTATGAGTGTTTGGTTTATTTATTGAATATGCTTTCTCTTGTTTTAAGGGCTTTATCTTAGGGAAGCTGTGATCCAGTTGGGAGCCAAGGTTGAGGAATAAGCTGCCTAACCTTCTACTTGTAATAGTAAATATTCTAATCCTGTGGAATCTTCTAGGGAACTCAGAGAAAAACCGTTGCCACAGGAGGTTGCTGTCTACCTTCTGACATGATGGCAGTTGTTATTTTTGAGCCAGTATTTAATTTTTTTAACCTATATAATATGTTTAAAAATTGTTTTGTTGTGTTTATTTTCATGTTAGAAGAGTTTCTTTGGAAATGCCTCTTCTTGTGGCTTTTCAAGTTTCATTCCTTTTTAGAGTTGTCTTTGGTTTTGATGTGTGTCACTATGGGGCAGTGCCAGGGCACGAGCATAAAAACGCAGACCACCTCCTTCATTCACATCTGCACTGAGTGAGTGAGTGGAAGCCATAGATGCTGCGTTTTTAGCCTTTCACAGCAGTGGACTTTGCCCTGGGGCAAGTGAATTTGGTTTAGAAACCCTGCTCAGCAGTGGCAGAGGATCAGAAGGTCCAAGTGCAGGAGTGCAGGACATATTAGAGGAGTGGGTATTGAATTATAACTGAACTCACAGTTGGCCCACCACAAAGGAAAGCTCTTTGCTCTGCATGTCGGAAAGGACAGGGGACAATTGGGAGATGGGGTCATGTTTCACTGACTGGTGGTTGCTGGGTTTTCCAAGTGAGCTTTGTTGGTCAGGTTGACAGAGTAGAGCCATTCTTTCCTCTAGGGATTCAGGTTCCCTCACAGGATCCTGTGTCAGCAAATGGTTCATGATACTGCATGCAGTAGGGAGACTGGTATTGGAGGCTGTGCCCTAGTACCTGGCCGTGTGACCATGCTGAACTGGGAGGCCATCCTTGGGAGGGGCTTCCTTGCTTTGTACAGGGCTCTGCACAGAGGCTGGAAGCTAATAGTTCCCACTCTTGAAATGAATTCCTGAGATGAGAAACTCATCCCTGGTCTACTCCCCCTGAGGTCTTGAGACTAAAGATAGAACCGAGATCTAACCTGGGTGCCAGCAGGACTGTCCCAGAGCTGAGGGAGGAATTTGGGTTTCTAAATTGCTCAAGCTTTTGAATCCAGTGGTGGTTTGCTCAGTGCAGATTCACTAAAAGCTGGCTGTTGGAGACAACTAATGTTAAGATCAGTGTAAAGTTGATAAGAGGAAGGCTCAAGAGGAGGTGGAGTACAAATAGCCTGAGTGCTAGGGTTACCATGGAAACCACAGTGTGTGAGGCCATAGCCTGTGCTGAAGAGCTGTTGAGCATGCCTCTGACATGTTTAGGGACCAGCTGAACCTGTGGGGGAAGCATGCCCTTACCCTAGGAGCCTTTCTTTGTAGCAAGGACAGTGCAAATGCCCCTGAGCTCACTCAACCACCAAAATAAGGTTTCACCATTTTTTCTTTTTCTTTTTATTTTATAATATATATAATATGTAATTGTAAAGAAACAATCATATGCAATGTCTTTTATACTTATGTAATATTTTGAAATTAAATTTCCTTTGTTTCATATCTGCAGGCTTTGGCTGGTCTCTTGGTTCACATTTTGACCGATGGGTTGTTTTGAAGAAAGAATGCTTTTGATTCTGAGGATCGTGAGGCCTCTGAGGAAGTCATTCCTCTATGGCATATTTTGCACTTGGGTGGGAGAGTTCAGGAGGAGAGGGCTTTGGCTGATAAATGAGTTTGACCCGGGCAAGGCAGTACATACCTGTAATCCCAGCACTGGAGAAGCTGAAGCAAGGGGATCTTAGTGTGAGGCCATCCTGTCTCCAAACAAAGAAGAGAAAATAAGAAAGCCTGGAGCCACTGCACTCCTAAATTGACTTTGCCTCCTGACGTGGGCCAACCTACTTGCTCATGTCTACATTAGTCCAGAAATGTAGCTTGAGGACAGGAATGGTGAGGACGAACAAACCCCAAGCCAGTGGTTTCAGCATGGAGGACATTGTCTTTTCAAGGCCTGGCTTCTGATTCCCCCAAATAAAGGTAGGGGACAAAAGTTGAGGTTGTGCAATGGACAAGTCTTTTTTCTTTTTCTTTCCTCTTGAGATAAGGTTTCTTTTGTAGCTCAGGCTGGCCTGCAACTCCCTGTATAACCTAGGCTGCCTCAAACTCATGACCACCTTCACAGCCTTCACAGTTGTACATTCCTATACTTGGCTTCTTTCTAGAGAGTTGTTTTCAGTGCCTCAGTTGAATTTTTAATTTAGTGGAATCATTATCTGTGGGCAATAGAAAAAAGGAAGTAGAATGTCTAAAAATCATAAGCCTGAGAGGGAAAAAATTCCAAACAAATGAGGTCAGGGGGCTAGGAAAGAGCTGTTCCATGTAACAGAGTATCCATCATGGGGGTGGTATGCCGGCCATCCCAGGGGTGGGAATGTCAGTTGTCCACATACACAACATCTGGACCCTTCGACTCATGTCCATGGCAATTGCAAAGTGAAGGTTGATTTTACGATCCATGTCCATTGGCAGTGGCTCAGAGGGCAAATACACAGTCAGGTATTACTTAATGCTAAGATGCATTCTGAGAGACACATCACTAGACAATCTTGCTGTTGTGTGAACATCATAGAATGAACTTACACCAACTGAGTGTGGCTTGTTGATGCAGTGAAAAAAGATGGTAGTCATGAGATGTATATGTGAGAGCTGTGGAGGGTATAATGGCTACTGCTCTACAATAAACTTGTAAGTAGAAGTATACTTGCAGACAATGAAAAGGTATAGTATAGCAGCAGATGCATTAGTCAGTAGCAGTTGATCATCAAGTATTAGGTACTAAACATAATGGTGGCTGTTCCACTTTCGTATCACTGGCATCAGGCCACCACCACAAATATGCATGAGGAATGCATTAGTTAATAAGACACATCTGGGATCCTTGACTCATGGTCAAGTTGTAAAGGTAAAGTTGCACCTGAGATTGCTGCAGGTTAGATGTCACTAGGAAACAGTGTTCATCTCTGTACAATGCTTTTTCTTTGTTCTGTTATAACCTTATGGCACCAGCATCTATGCAGTGTCTTGTTCATTGAACCATCATGTGGCACATAGCAAGCTGTAGATATATCGTAAGTATGATATCTACTTTTAAAGAATGAACCCA